GCCGAAAAATCCTACGCCACGTGTGACCTATCATCTCATATTACATAATCTCCCCATACGCCAGAACATCCAACGCCACGTATGGGGTCTGTCCTCACGCTGGAAAATCCTATGCCACGTGGGACCTAGCCATCATATCACATAATCTCCCCATACGCCGGAACATCCAACGCCACGTATGGGGTCTGTCTCAAAGCCGGAAAATCCTACGCCACGCGAGACCTAACAATCACATATCACATAATCTCCCCATACGCCAGAACATCCAGCGCCACGTATAGGGTCTGTCAACACGCCGGAAAATCCAACGCCACGTGTGACCTCTCATCTCATATTACATAATCTCCCCATACGTCGGAACATCCAACGCCATGTATGGGGTCTGTCAACACATCGGAAAATCCAATGCCACGTGTGACCTCACATCTCATATCACGGTACTTACACAGCGCAATCAAACATCTTTATATCTTTAATATATATATATAACTTTACACCAATAAATAATAATAATATTCATTTCTGTTTGCCCTAGTTTAAGACAATAACTAATACCATAATCCCACCATATCAATATAACTCAACAACGCTCAAGACCTGTCACTAGGGTCCTTATAATCCTCCTAGGAAGGTAAAACTACCTCGGAAGACTTACGGTCAACCAAGGGTCAATCTACCCAAACTTGGTCAAATAGGCCCACGGGGCCCACAACCTCCAAACTACGATCCGAAAGTTCCTATAGGTTCTACAGGGCCTAGGACACGCGTCCTGCAAGTTTGGTCCAGATCGGATGGTCGGATCGCTCACGATCACACGATCGGACGGTTACTATAACTCAAGCCCTAGGGTTGATATTTCCGGAGTATCCTGGACTCCGTTTTACGATCCGTCGAATCCTACACTATTCTAAGGATGTCCAAAATGACATATATTAAATTCACGACGATCCAACGATTCAAACCTATCGAAACAGGATAACGCACAATATGCGATATCCGATCGACGATCAAACGATATCCGAATTCATATCCGAGCATACCGTCATGCTCGGGACGACATGAGGATGATTTTGAACTCAAAGACGGGCCAACAAGTGGCCCACGTGCCGGCAGCGCGTGGGTGGCTTGATCAAATTTCGGCAACCGGAAATCCTCAAAACTGGAATCCTAGCTTCCTATCCTAGGTAAAACACCCTATTTGGAACCACTTTTGTTATTGGACATACCCCGAAAACTGACCGGAAGTGGCCGAAATCGCTATCCCAAAACCGGCCAAATTTCAGTTCGTAAATCGAACCATCAACACTCAAAATTAACGAAATCTACCCAACCATCAGCTTGATCATGAAAAATAGGTGATAAACCATACCTCACTTGCCGAAATTGGTGGCCGGCCGACGGAGAACGAAGTCGGAGAAGTTCGAGCGAAAACCGGCCGTTTGTCTTCATTTTTCCGACGAAATCCCGACGGCTGGCGGCGGGACCTGGCTGGGGTTGGAAGAAGACAGCAGCCCGATCATTTTGGTACCGGCCCCGTCAGCTTTGGTGGTCGGACCAGAGCACGGCCAGCCAAAATGTGGCCGGCTGTTACAGCCGTCGCAAGAGAGGAGAGAGAGTGCCTGCGAAGGAGAGAGAGAGAGAGGGAGAGAGAAAAATCAAATTTTATCAAACCCTTTTTGCCAAAATTACGGTTATGCCACTGAGGGTATTTTGATCGTATCTCTCTCGTTACAACTCTGATTCGAGCCCAAATTCTTTCCCGGTCAAAAAGTCAACTTTAAACCTAATAAAACATTCTAGGGCCAAAATGGTCTTTTATCATGTCTAATTAATAATTAAACATTTATTTAGGACCAGGTCGTTACAGTGTTTGATTACTTTTAGTTTGTCAAAGTCTGATTCATGTTTTCATTGGAGGTGGGTGCGAGAAGGAGAGAGACGGAGAGTTTGGGTTGTGGAGGTGGGCGGTGAGGTAAGGGCACTCAGGATGAGGGAGGCGAAGAGGGAATTGAGATTTTTTAGTTTTGAGTTTTTTTTTTTAAGATCTTAATTTTACTTAAAGAAATTTATTTTCACACATGCCATATAATTGTTGAGTATAACAATAGGTCCCACTCGTGCCACGTCAATGTTTTTAACATAATTTTTTTACGAACTTGAAAGTGGGAGTAAGGGAGACCTAAAACATCGGTTAGGGGATACTGTGGGTCACTTTAAGTTTTAGATGATAAAGTGAGATTTAATCATAGTTTCAGGGGGCACTTCAGTAAATAAGCCTCATTTTAACCATTAAGGTACATACATCAACTAGGAAACCACATATGCTTAAGTAATTTATTTTCATTGGAAAAGCTCAACAAGTTAACCTCTCTAGTGGGTTTCTAGCATAATATTCTAACTCTTCAATATAGTGATTGCCGGCGCCGATGAATGAATTTAAATTTAAGACATCTTCCTCTATTAAGAGAAATACTACTAAACTAAGAGATAGTTAAGAGGTAGCTCCGATCGAATATGCCTTTTAAATTAGGACACTGCTTCCCTCCTTACCTGGAGGCTGGAAGCACTCGCGAAACCAAGTTAAAGGCAACAATGGGCTCTAGCCCAAGTAGCCTTTTTTGAAAATTAAAATATAATAATTGTATTTTAATATGATTTTGGATTAATTTGCTTGCTCAATTAAGAAATAATCCCTTAGTAAACACTCGTGACTTTAACTCTCTACCTTTTTCTATTTTTTTCCCATTGTTTTCTTAATTTGTTTCCTTCGATATTCATTTTAATGACACCCTTTTCAATTAGGTAGCATAAAGGGTGGGCACAGTGTGGTTCATATGAAGAAGGAGATTATAGCAGTTTCTTTTATTCTCTACATCGAAAAATAATTTGCTAAGAATATCGATTCATACACAATAACAAAAGATTTCAATTCTCTCAAGGATCATACGGCACAACTTGAATATGTACAATTTTAATTTTTTTGTTGAACATATTTTCATTTTGATACTATGTGTGTTTTTGGGTTCAGTGACAGTGCCAGAAGTAATTACATAAACAATTGTTTTCAGCACAAATTTGCGTCATTCTCCCATTTGAAAGCACAAATTGCATTTACAGCAACACTCAACCAGCTTCAAAACAACCCATTAACCTGACCACCTATAAAATGGAATTAAAACCATACTTTGTTTTTCTTTAGGGCTAGCTAGTTCGTGCTTTACGTAAGAGGTCATGATTTCACTTACCATATAGTTTCTTTCTTATTTTTCTTTTGTTTGCAAAAGTTAGTATAAGTTGAGCTTATTTTTGAGTGACTACATGATATATAATAGCATTGAATTATGGAAAACTAGGGTTGCCCGAAAACAATTCGTGTGTAAAGTAACCATACTGGGCTGTTACGAGGTGCCTTGGGCCAAATGAATAAACTATATATCTAAGGTATAATCTTAAGATGAAGTATACTCATCCCATGAATTTATCATTTATACTATGAGAAGTTTTTTGTTTACATAAACATCTAGGAGTTTTTATCAAGGAGACATTATGGCTAATGGTAAACCTACCATGGTTCGGTTTGGTATATTGAACTCAGCCTCTATAATCTGATCCTTTCCTGCCATTGATTCTCCATCTTTGCATGCACTATTTTGTATTGGACTGAATCGGGAAAGTTTGTCATAGGGGAGAGAATAAATGGGCATGGGATTAACTGTTCCCCATCATAATTCTCGGTTTTTCTGGTAATGGATTACGAAATTTAATGTCGAATCAAAATAATGTTTTATTCTTTATGTGCTAGCAAACTTAATGGAAGTCGAGAATTGAAATTATTCATATACTCATATATTTGTAAATGTAGATAAAGTAATATAATTCAAATAATTCAAATACTCGTTCCATTCCATGTAAATAAACATGCCTTCAGATTGTTTCATTTTAAAAATTTCACTCGTCTACAAGAAGCTACATGGTGACTACGGGTTGGCTAGCTGGGGGCTTATATGAGGATTAGAAGAGGTTCTTAAGCCTATACTTGTTTTAGTTTCATCTTGATTGTTTGAGCTTTAGCTCCCCATTCTTCCAAACAAACAACATAATGTTTAGCTCGCATTATACCCAACAAGAAATAAAATAAAATAAAATCACGTTATCTTTACCGTCTAAACTCATATATGAAAACTTATGAGCATGATCTTTATTGATTCAATTAGTTGTATGTTGTTGTCATAACTTGCGTAGTTGCTACACATTTACGTTATAATCCGTTGTTCAGAGAGAAATGTAGCCAGTTATAATTGAATTGGTTTACTAAAATGAATTTTCTTGAAATGAAAAATAATATTATTCAATTTGTAATGCCGCATTCATTAAAAATTTGTGATGTCGCGTTCATTCCCTTATAAAAACAAAAAATTTGCAAAGGACCCATTAGTGTAGTGGCAATTGCTCTCTCATGCAAAGTCTTAGGTTCGAGTCATAGCATCAATATAACGTGTGAGTTTAATATATTTTCGCCCCTCTTAATAGAAAAGGTCCTACCAAACGAATAATTATGATAAATAATTAAGGATCCCATTTCATCACACAAAGTAATTCTGATTAATGCACTTCACTATTTTATTGAAATCATAAAACATCAAACATTTAATTAAACAATGCATGTTGCTGTTGTGCAAAAACATTGTCTAGGACAACAAAGTTTTTAACCAAGCGTATAAAACGTTGGACACTAATAATGTCATACAATTAGTAAAGTTAAATTATAAGCGGTTATTAGTTGGAAATGTATTGTAACTTAAGTAAGTTGAAAAAACTCTCGTCTTTAAAATCAAGAGGAATTAAAGTGTTTATGTATTTATGGGAGGCGTTTTCATATTCCAAATAACTCGGATCATTGCAAACCCTTATAAATAAAGAAACCCTTAAAACTCAACTCCATCAAAGAATTCTTTGCCTTTCCCCAAAAAAATAAAAACTAACTCGTACCAAAAAGCACTATGGCTGCACTAAATATGTACCCAATGTTGGTCATTTTGCTTTTGGTGAGCCCATCAAGAATTATTTTCACAACTTTCGCAATTCCAACTTTCGAGGCATCTAATTCGAAAATCCTGGATGAATGTAAAAAACATATCTCCATTAACTGTGCTCGGGAAGTTGGTGGAAGTATTTTCGAAGGTGGGACTGTAACAGATGATTGTTGCCATAAGCTTGTGTCTGTAGGCAAAAATTGTCATGCTTTATTCTTCAACTCTGCTCTTGAGTCTATACCCAATGTCAATAAATCTAGAGCTTTGGCAAAGAGTACACAAGTTTGGAATCGATGTGTTGGAATTGCACTCTCCCCTGCATCTTCTATCACAATTCCAAACTCAAAGGCTTCAAAATTGAAAACAGTGGATGAATGTAAAAAACATATCTCCACTAAGTGCGCTCGGGAGGTTGGCAGAAGTATTTTCGAAAGTGGGAGTGTAACATATGGTTGTTGCTATGAGCTTGTGCCTGCAGGCAAAACTTGCCATGATCTATTCTTTAACTCTATTCTTGCTTCCAAACCCATTGTTGACAAATCTAGAGCTTTAGTAGAGAGTACACAAGTTTGGGACCAATGTGTTGAAATTACAATTTCTCCCGCACCTTCTATTGCAATTCCAACCCCAAAGGCATTAAATTCGGAGACCTTGGTTGAATGCAAACATATCTCCATTAATTGCGCTTGGGAAGTTGGCAGAAGTATTTTTGAAGGTGGGATGGTAACAGGTGATTGTTGCGATGATCTTCTGTTTGAAGGAAAAAACATGCCGTGATATATTCTTCAATGCGACTCTTTTGTTAAAACTCGATGTCGACAATCCTAAAACTTTGGCAAAGAGTACACAAGTTTGAAACTAATGTGTTGAAATTACAGTTTCCCCTACATTTTCTTCTTTAGAACTGAAGAACTAAAATATTCAGAAATTATGTATGAGATGTGCCATGTTAAAGTATCATTTTTATTTGATTTATGTTTATTCCCCCAAAAAAAATTGACTTCAACATGTTGTTTTGTTACGAGCTTAATTTTGTTGGTTAATTAAGGTTCTTCCACAATTGAAAGACAAAATAGTACTATTTTCCACGTAACCAAAGACTCCATTCCATTCTTTGTGAGGTTCAATATATTTGTGAACATTTTTTTTTTTCGCAAAGTAAGTTTACTTATGTATCTTTTTTATATTGTATGGGATAGACGTTGATGGTCGTTGTTTTGTTCGCATCTTCATCATTTCTTCGTCCTCATCTGACTTGTTTACAGATTGTACATCAAAAACATTCAACAACGAAAGAATGCTTAAATATATTTGGAATATTTTATTCATATACGCTAAATAAGCGTTCTCACATAATTAATTGTCACAATACTATCACAATTTGATTTGCCTAAAATTCTGAAGCTACTTTCTGCAAAGCTTCGTGTAACCTAATCAGGCAAAAATCAAATACGTCAAGTGGGATTGACATGGCACTAGGAGTGGGCATCGAGACAAAAACACCGAGCCTCACCAGACGAAAAAAAAGAAGGGAAAAATTGAGTTGACAAAAAAATCAACAAACTAACACCAGACCGAACCGGACCAAACTCATTCCAGTGCCAATTTTATACCTAAGAAGACCAATTCAAATCAAACCAGACCTGCTAGTGTTAATTTATGGATTTATTTTTATATCTAATTATTTAGCCCAATTCTCCTAACAAGTCAGAACACCTTTGAAGCCCAATTCCTTTCTCTCCTATTCTTTTTTCTTCGTGAAGCTCACTCTCACTCTCTTCTTTTTGTCTTTCTTTTTCTTTTTATCCTTCTCGTCTCTCTCTCTCTCTCTCTCTCTCTCTCCCTTTTCTTTTGTTTCTTTTTTCTTCTTCTCTCTAATGCAACTTCACTTTCTCTTTCTCCCTTTTTCCTTCTTCTGTACGAGACTGCGACTTCACTCTTCTTCTTTATCTCCTTCTCTCTAATTTTTCTTCTCCCTTATCCATATCTCTTTTTTTCCTCTTTTATTTTTTTCAGCGTTTCTCCGTAATAGTGCTAGTGTGCTTCATTTCCGTGGTCGTTCGTTGATTTCGTGTTTGTGGCCGTTCATCTCCTTGGTTGCAAATCTGGTTTGTTTGATTGCAAATTAGGGTTTTTAATGAAATTAAATTGAGGGTTGTAGAAATTAATTTTGGTGATTTTGTATTTTTTTTTTGGTGGTGAAAATTAGGGTTGTAAACTATGGGGAATGCATTTTCAAGGAAGATTGTGCAGCTATTGTGTTATAGCTCTTTTGTGTTTTTCATTTTGAAATTTTGGGCTAGAACCTGGAAAAAAAAATGAAGCCGGTGCAGAACTGGAAATCAGAAAACTGCACTGGAAATTGGCAATCTGGCTTGGTGTGGTTTTCCTCCCATGTTTTCTAAAAATCGCACCGGTTGAATAGTGTCGGTGTCAGTGCCAATGTGAGGTGGAAATGGATCAAACCAAACCGCGCCTGCACCTACATGGTATGCACAGGAATAGTATTCTTTTAAGGTTTATTTTCTGTAGCGCTCTCTAAAATAATGTTCAAATCTCACTTTTCCTCCTAGAAGTTAAAGTGACTCAAACTGCATCTTTGACCGTCTTACTTTACCTCTTGTCATCAAGTCCATAAAAATTCTATTAAAAATATTCATGTGGCATAAGTGGAACCATTTTTTTGTTAAAATTGATGACCCGTAGGTGCAACGTGTGACAAAAAAAAATTCAATAAAATATTTTATTTATAAAAAAAATAGAAATTATCGAGATTTTGAGGCAAAGCTTAGGAGAATCTGAACTTGGACCTGACTGAGTCCAGATCCGACTGAGGTGGAACGTGGCGGCCATGGCGTTTAGGGTGGTAGTTGGAGATGTTGGCGCTTGAACAAGCTCTCAATAGCAAAAAATTCAATGTGTCATTCATTCTTGTTGAAACCAGAATGAGTTTTGGTTCAAGGGGCACTATTTTGAGCTTGTGTTTTGTTGAGATGGGTATCATTGAAGATTTTGGATAGAAAAGTTTAAGATGGGTACCATTAAATTTTTTTGGGTTGTGCAGAGGAAAATGGGCCATGAAAGCTGCTGCCTTGTGAAACAAAATGGGCTCGGTGCCGCCATGGTTCTGCTGTTGATGAGCCACCAAATTGATTTCTCCATCCAAGTACAACCCACACACCGGCTGTCATTTGTTTCTTTTGTGCCCAATTTCATTATCTGCGTGGTTAAGGTTGTCTAAGGCAACTAACTTCGGTTGGGTAATTCCAACATGCAGTGTTGTAAGGGAAAGGAGGTGGAGATTTTGTGGGATAAGATCAACTTCTGGCGTGGCTTTACATAATTTAGGGATTTATGTTTTCTGTAATTTTCTGGTTGGAAAACTGTTGTTTTCTAAAAAACTTTCTAGTTTTTGTGTGTGATTACTTTTTAGTTTGTCAAAGTCTGAGTCATGGTTTCACCGGACGTACGTGGGTGTGAGAGGGAGAGAGACAGAAAGGTTGTGGAGGTGGGAGGTGGGGTAAGTGTGCTATGGAGAGGGGAGGCGAAGAAGAGGGACTCAATTGCAATTGGGGGCCAAGTTCAGTTCAAAGACGTCTACAGTATATAACCCTATATATAGAGGGGCACTTGACGACAGAAGAGGGGGTAAAATGAGATCTAAAACATCGATTAAGGGGCACTTTGGATCACTTTAAACATCGGTTAAGTGAGATGCGTCAGTAATTTCTTTTCAGTGGAAAAGCTCACCAAAATAACCTTTCCGGTGGGTTTCTAACATAACATTCAAACTCTTCAATATATTGATTGCGGATAAATGAATTCAAATTTGAGACATCTTCCACTATTTAGAGAAATACCACTAAACTAAGACCCGAGCCAATATGCCCTTCAAATTATAGTAGTTAAATGCCAACAAAGTTACAAGAAATTTATGGTCAGTGACAGTGCTAGAAGTAATTACATAAACAATTGCTTTTCAGCACAAATTTGCATAATTCTCTCCAGGCTTCAAACAACCCATTAACCTGACCACCCATACCTATACATTGACACAAAAATAAAATGGGAAGCCCTCTCTTTGACCAACAAAAAAGAACTTGTACCAAAAGTTCAGGGTAAAAATGGGCAGAGAGAGTCACCCACTTAAAGAAGGGCAATGAGAATGAAAAGAAGAACAGCAGCTATGAAAGAATACTTAACAGCAGCAACAAGTATAGCCAATGCGATGAACACCAACTGCCATAGCACCTGCACGCTTGCCCACGTCAGCAGCCCCGTCAATCCGACGGCCAAGATGTTGTTAGGATCTGGGTCCAGTAGCAGATCACCCCATCTGATGTTGCCGAATAAGGGCCGTTGATTCTCTCTCAAATCATCGTCACGACCGCCGAATCCAATTTCTTCTTCTTTGTCTTTCTCTTCTTCCCTCTCCTTGCCACCGGGGTTGTTTGCAAATATAACAAATTTTTTGGGTTTTCTTGGTATTTGGGTTTGGGGTTTGAGAAGTAAAGAAGAGGAATTGAGGAGGGTTGGTGAGGGAATTGATAGAGGTCTTGAGGTTGAAATCAAAGAAGATGATGGGATTGGTGGGGGTGTGAAAGCAGTGAGCCCTAACATGTTTTCCTGGTCATCAAAATTTTGCAGGAAAATGAGGAAAGGGAAAGAGGGTAAGATTCGACTCGACTCATTTTCGGCTTTTGCCTTTTCCCCATTCTAAATTCCATGGGTCTGCAGCATGTAATTCAATGGTAGAGATGGGCCAAGTGGCTGGTGACTATGGCTCCATATTCTGGGTTTGGGTTGTAAGGGCTTTTTACTTGCTAGTTGCGTTTTGGTATTTGTTGGGCTTGGCCCCCAAAATTGGATATCAAGTGTGATTATTTTTTCTTGCAATTACCAAAAAGAAGCTTTTCTCATTCACTAATTTTACATCACTACACATGCATTGAACTACAGTTACTGAAACTCGGTATTTGAGTTCGTCCGCGAACCCATTCCAAGCTTGAGTACCTCCAAATCCAAAATTCACCCAAAAATTATCTTAACTCAAAAAATTCACCAAAAAATAACCAACTCTCTGTAACATACACTTTCATTCTATGATCTCAATTCAAAATTTGACCACAGAACAATTCCATTTCAAGTGGACAACTGAAATTAGTTACCGAACAACTTTTAAACAATTTTCAATTTCAATTTTTTTTTAAACATAATAAAATTGGTTACCAAACAAGTTTTCTATTTTCAATTCCTTCAAAATAAAAAATGAAAACTATAAACTGAAATTGTTATCAAACGGCCCTTAAGGTTGCATGATCGATTCTTTTGGGTTTTACATTGATTATAAAAGCTTAATCAACTAGTTTGAAGTATGGGTTGTTGTGGGCACAACATATGGGAATTTATATTTTATAAATTGAAGGTGATTCACATATTTTAATCAGCAATCATTCTCATTCAATGGCCTAAAAATTTATTGGAACATGTGAGGACATCTTTAATAAAATTTATTGGATTAATCAGACGACACATATTAGTAGTCTTAACACTCCTTTATTCTTCTTGTTTTACTTAAACAATCATTTTAATTGTTCTAACCCTAAAAATAAAAAAATAAAAAAAGGAAACATGTTTAAGCAGTTAACACATATAAAATGATTATGATGAAATCCAGGAAAAGCAGACTTGTTCGACCAGAAAGAGGAGAGAGAAAGAGGATACGGGGGAGAAGATGGTTTTGTATGGTTTTGTTTGATCAGAAGAGGAGAGATGAAGGGAATGAAGGGGAGAAGATGGTTTTGTTCGACGAGAACGAGGAAAGAGGAAGGGGATGAAGGGGAGAAGATGGTTAGGAACGCACATTCCTATTTTACTTTTTTTGTTGCGACTTAGAATAATTAAAAATATGGAGTTTCACTAAAACACCCAAAATGGAGGTTGAAATTATAAAAAAACCCAACACCCAAAACACTTTATAAACACACCCAAAACCCATCATTACACACACCCAAAACACTTTATAAACACACCCAAAACCCATCATTACACACACTCAAAACTCATTTATAAACACACCCAAGAAGTTGACTTTGGGGTTGATTTTGGGTGTGTTTATATGTTTAAATAGTGCTTGGGTTTTTTTATAAATACATGTCTAGGATTGAGTTTATTTATAAATTTGTATTAAAAATATTGTTTGAGTAAACTAAAGTAGTCTGGTTGAGGGTTAAGACTATTAACTACATGTGTCGTTTGACAAATCCAATGACTTTTATTAAAGAGGTCCTCACAAGTCCTCATTTTAAGTCCTTTAGGCGAGTAAGATCCTTTAAATCATAGTATTACAACGGCCCTAACCTCTACCTTGGCGTCTTTTGTCACTAATGAACTACATAAAGGGATTAATGCAAAGCTTTACAAATTCATCAAATAAGACATATTTATTGGGATAAAGAGCTTCAGTTGAGAAATCCCTCAAATAAGTTTATTTGAGGGACATCCTTATAGGCAGGGCAAATCCACATAGGGGTCAAACGACCCCTTAAAAGCCATGGAAATAAGCTTGGAGGTCCTAGTTTTTTGGAGGTTTAACCTCTTGAGCTGCCCACCACCTGTTTGATGAAAAGCTTGAGGAGGAGGAAGAGAATTCGCTGGGAAGAAGAAGAGAAGCTACGCAGGTTTTTTTCTTTAATCGCCTGGCAAAACGACGTTGTTTTGCTTAAGATGCTTCTAATTTTTTTTAAACAAACTATGTTGTTTTGTTGAGGCATGCTGCTTGTTGTTTTTTTTTGTATAAATCCTCCCCCCCCCCCAAAAACAACAAAAACCCTCAATTGCCGAATTATTTCCGACTCCCACTTCATCTCAAACCCTAAGCCCCAACCCCAACCCCCCACCACCATTACCATCTCCTTCTGCCAGATGAGTTGAATTTGGGCTTCTAGAGTTGATGACAAATTGAAATCATTCGAATATATTTGACCACTCAATTCAATTATTGAAAATTTAGTACTTTCTTGAAGCATCATGTTCATTGATTTTGTAGGACACAATTAGATGTCGAAATGGTTTTCGATTTGTCTAATTTTTTGCAAAGAAGATCTATGAATGTATACTTAAAAAATAGACAGTTTAGATCGTTGAAAAAAATATCGTAAGGAACCCTAAAAAGTGTTTCTCAAATAAACATTACAAAAAAGTGGCAACAGTCACCATTATTTGTTGACTAATGTTTGAGTGACATTAGAAGGGAACTATTTATCATAAAGCTAACAAGTTCGCTAATAATATGCCAACAATGGGTCATGATAAACATGATACTTATATTTAAAGCTCATCATGTATGTAGCAGGAATACAGGGATCTTTCCTCGTTATAATTTTATTTCTTGGTTTGAAGAAGAAAAAAAAGAAGGAAAAAAAAAAGTAACCACTCACCATGAATAATGTAAACTGAAAGTCAGCAAATTATGTCAGAACCATCTAGCAGGAATACAAAACGTCATGCTTTACCCTGGTAAAAGCTAATATATATATAACTCTGAAAATAGCATTTTCCAGCTACAATAATATTACTGTGCAGGGGAGGAAAACAGTGGGAAGGCAAGAAGAGAGGCCAAATAGGGGAACAAAAAGGAAAAATCTCTCCTTTTGTCTTTTGATTATATGATTTATGAGAAAAATATATATATCCAATGATGACTTTAAAAAGAGGCCACTGTTTTCTTCCTTCGGAATCATATTAATTCTATCAGGGCTCCCTGTTCATCAAATACGTCCGTACAAAAGCAGAAATGATAAGCTGTGATGTCCAGCTGTGAGAGAAGGGGCCTACAATCCCTTTTAGGCAAAGACAAATGTCCAATGCTCACAAGAATCCATTGGCCCTAAAAAATGACTTTTGCTTGATTTGTTCAAATGCGGAGTCACACTTCAATTATTCACTTGAAAGTCTGCCGGGTAGGACTTGGGGGGCCTATCCATTCCATATGTGAGTGCTCAACCCTCACATGGCAAGGTAGCTCTGCATACTTTTAATCAGTAGAAGGCTCCGTATAGATGAAGGTATTTCAAATAAAGAATTTGAATTCGATAACAATGACAAATTTTTTATTTTTTTATTTTATTATAAAAAGCTAGAAACATTCGATTGAATATGTATTTGAAATAACCATAAGTAATACACATGGAATTGATTTAAAATGACTTTGGAAGAGTCATTTTAATCTTGATATACGTAGTTGTAACTTTACAATTTAACCTCGTAATGTCATATGAATTCTTAGATTTGGAATCACTCGATATAAATGGACTCGTAGGATATTTAATTCCATGTTAAAGACGTTAGCGTGTGTCATTTAGACTACTAATTAATCTAAGACTTCCATCCCTGCTGTGGGATACTCTTCATAGCAAGGGTCCTAGTGCGTTGAAATTAGCGTTTGAAATGTTGGGATTTTCCCATTATGCTTGAGTGTGATTCTCATGGTGTGGTCTTTGGCTTGCGTGAAGATGATAGGGGTGAAGCCGAGGGGAATGATGACTCAGTGTCATATTATGCCTAAAACGTGTAATAAGGTAGCTAATGAAATTACTCGACTTACTTGGAATGGTAATAAGGTAAGTATCTCACATATTCTTACTTCATGATTTTCCACAAAACGGTAATGATAGGTATCACATGTACAAATCTTTCCATTTTCCAATTCGATCCCATTTTCTTCACTCGTAATGTTATGTTCGAGACAAATTAATTAAGTGATAAGAAATATCACTCGAACAATAACTTGTTAACCCATTTCCTAGCAAATCAAGCTTTTTGCAGCAGTGGCTTGTAATGGAAAGGAAAAAAAAAAGGAAGGCTAGGCGCTTGAGCACAGTCGGAGCAAGAAGCGAGCCATGGTTAGCCGTCGCAAGCACTAAGGTGGTAGATAGATGCCTGTGGAAAGCTAGAAGATTGAGTGATGGCCAGTCAAAACTGAAAAGGGTAAATAACCACACACGGATGATATACTGTTTCTTTCTACGTACAGGCTTCTTCTATATATCATCCTCGTGTCATGCCTTCCCTCTCTGTCACTTATATTACGTATAGTATACCGCTTTTTCCAATCTCTCTCTCTCTCTCTCTCTCTCTCTCTACACATCCACACAGAGGTTGACAGTGATGCAAGAGTGACGAAAGTTGCGTTAGACTCGGATCCTGTCTCCAATGAAATAATAAAAAATTAAGCTCACATTCTAACTTGGTCCTCCCTTTTTCATCCCAACACTCTATCAAAAAGCAACTCCTAAATTCTCTCTCTCTCTCTCTCTCTCTCTCTCTCTCTCTCTCTCTCTCTCTCTCGAACTTTGAGTGGTAGATATGGATGAGTATGGAGTTCCAGATCTCCGGCAGCTGATGGCCTCAAGAACCCAGTTTTGCACGACCTCACAATTCCAAGAGCCATTTTCAGCACATGGAAATCTCACAGCTCAACCTAATTACCAGCCCATGCTTGTTCCAGCTGGTGGCTTGGTTGATCATCTTCATCCTCCTCATTATTCTACTATAATCAACGGCTGTGGTGCAGCTCATCCTCCTAATGCTGCTGCCACCACTTCATCAGCTGCTGCATT